ACCAACTGGAAGTACTAGACAACTGTTTCGTCAGTCTAGTTTGAGACTCTTATTCAGCAGTACGCATCCATCGCCAGTGTTCGAACCGACGACCTTCTGGTTACAAGGCGGACTAGCTCGTAGACCACTAAGCCACTGGGACCCAATCCAGTAGCCAGCCCATGAATTCTAACATAGGCTAAATCATGACATAGTGCGACCACTAGCCAATGTCTTCTTCCATGAGTTACTGCTTCAATTTCAGCCTGCTGTACCCTACTTTTCACGGCTTCCCATTAGAACTCCAGGTCACTGACTGAATAGGGTCGGTCGCCAGTAAGCATCTTACTGATATTCATGGGCCGCTGGATCGGATCCCAGTGGCTTAAGGGTTTACGAGCTAGCTAGCCTTGTAACCAGAAGGTCGTGGGTTCGAAAACTGGCGGTGGGTGAGTACTGGTGAATAAGAGTCTCAAACTAGGCTGCCGAAACAGCTGTCCAGTACTCCCAGTTGGTTTTCCAATGATTCTTCAACTGATGTCAGCTCATGATGAAATCGTTCAACCAATCAAAACAGCTAGTTATTATCTCTTGTAGCTCACATGTAAATAATACGATTGTAAAATTATGACAATGACGTCAGTGAGAAAAAATTTTTTCTGCGCTGAAATCTTTGTTTTATGTCTCAACGGGGATTATTAATTTTAGATAACATGTTGATTGATTGAATAAAGCAAAAACAAAAAAACTAAGATAATGGTTTGATTGAAAACAAAACTGATTCATAAAAATGAAACTTAATTGTGCCTGTTTCTGTGGCAGAAATTTATTTAAAATCAATTTTCTAACCAATAAATTACAAAAAAGCTGACATGTGAAGGTAGTTAAATATCTTCAAGTTTGAAAACGGATTGATATTTGATAGAGAATCATTGAAAACCAACCAGGGAGTATTGGACAGCTACCTCTTCCTAGTTCGGGACTCACCGGTGGCACACATCAAGTGGGGTTCGAACCCGGGACCTTCAGAAGAAGTTGGCTGGTGATCGCACTAAAATCACGAGTTGGTAAAAGTAGTTGGAATTCATGGGCTCCTGAGTCAAGTTCGAGTGGTTGAATGGGTTACAAACCCGACGTGTAACCAGAAGGCTTCTGAGTTCGAAGCCCGGTAGTGAGTGCGGAATACCGATGAGTCCCGCACTAGGACAAAGAAGTGCCGATTACTAGCTGTTTGGTTTTCAGTGGTTCTCTAACTGATATCAATCCGTGGCGAAACTTGAAAACAAATCAAATTCCTATAAACCAACTCTTGATAGTGAAATATTTCTTAACTTCCTACAACTGAGTGCTTTAGTAAACTGCCAAGTTATATGTCAGTTTTTTTTTGGATTCTTCCCTAAAGTACAATTCAAACCAGACTGACTTCATCAAATCATATGTGATACCAGTTGCTTTCAACCATCTCACATCAATTCATAATGCACCACAATGGTGAGCCACCTAGCTTGTTGACCAAATTGCAAACTTGGCTGATAGAATTCAGTCTATATCAAAACAAAGGACGAGATACATTACACTAGTTACTTACTACCTAGTGTCCGATCAAAGTATCTAATACAATCCTACAGGAAGTAACATGTGAGCCCGAATAGCTCAGTAGTAACATGTTTGACTGCAGTACTAGATGACTCAGATTTGGAACTCAGAGGCGACATAACTTCCTTCAAGATTTCAGATGTGCATTAATGACTAGCAAGTACCAACAAGCACGAAACTCAGACGTGGCAAGGCTTCCTCCCGATTGTCTCCAACCATCTAATATCAACGATTCATAATGCACCGTGATGACGAGCTGTGGTGAGGGCTGGCTACTGACCAAACTTGGTAGGTAGTAATTTACGTCAATGTTTACGTCCCCTATATTGGTCATAAGAAAAATAAGAACAAAGACTGACTCAAAAACCAATCACAGCAGACTTTGCGTAGGCGGATACAATTCGCAGATAGATAATCTGAACTTCAATAAACGGCCACAAAGAGATGAAAGATTAACGTTCAGCGAGAAACCACCAATCAGAAGACTGTGTTTGTTTGCTTATAATAATCTATAATAATGTACATGAAAATATATAAATATCTGTTGATTTCCTAAATAAACGGTCTGTTGCTTGGCCCTTGACTTCTGTTGTTACAGAGCCACCTAATGGCATAATGGATACACTGCAAACTTGAATGACAGAATTCAGACCGCAACAACAAAAAAGGACTCCTAATATTGGTTACTACCTGGCTAGCAGCCCCATCCCGTAGAAACTAAACCACTACTATTGAAACTTCAAATCTTGAAGCCCTAAGTCCCAGTCGAAACACGGGAGATAAAAAGAAAGAAGCTACAAGGAATAAATTATTGATTTATGAAATAGATTTCTGATTACAAATAGCGGTGAACGGAATTACTTCACTTCTTATTAAAGAAACTGAAATTTGCACATGATCTACCACTTCATATATGGTGGGTAAGACAACAGTGTTAGGCAATCAATAAGTGCCTCGCACTTCTAAAATAAACGATGTCATTATGTTCTCTTGTTATTAATGGCAACAGATTACTTGTTAATAAGAAGTACATTTCAAATAGAAAACTAACCAGCTCAATCACAACTTTTAATCTATGAGTAGTGAAGCTCAGTTTGCTACAGAAAGAGACATTGATGAAGCGCTTATTCCTTGATAATTTGAAATGTAGCTGATAGATTTATTTTTGAAACAAATTAATACTCAGAAGTCAGTATATTTCCCCAACTTGTAATCGCTATTCCCACTAATATCTATCAAACGTCCTATTTGGATCTCGTCTTTTGAGTGTACTGCTTCTTCATTGAGAGATAGTGTTCTTAATTAAACTGAAAAGTTGCATTTATCACCATAAATATCTGCATATTATCTAAGATTCCGTTGAGATACAAGAGCTGTCACTTGTACAGTGGATAATAATCTCTATTATTTCATGAAAAGTAAATAATATTAAGATAAAATAGTATAATAAAGACGAGATAACCTCGTAAGAATGCTCATTTATCTACAGAGTTCTATGACTTCTACTGTTGGGCCAGGAGGCGTTACATTATTGATTTTTTATTAGTACATGTTATCCAGTCAGAACATAGTTTACACATCTTAGACCTACCGCCTAACAAATCATACAAAAGGAAATGAAGACGGATTAAGCACATGCTGTGGGGACTGCTGAGTGACATCACGTACCAGAGAGGCCATAGAGTGGAACCCGAATGGGAAACAACAAGCTAGGCTTCCAAGGATGATATTGAGGAGATCGTGTGAGTAGAAAGCGGAAGCTTATTGGAAGAAGTGAAGCTGACTAAAAAGGACTGCTGAGATCGGAGTGAAATGTTGATGCGTCACTGAAGCCCTATGTTCCATCCGGAACCCAAGAAAATAATAATAATAGACTTTGTCGTTTAAAATAGGTGCATGATTAGCAGTAATTTCGGATCGTATTGCCTTTCCCCCAACAGCAATAAATCTTTGTCTTCTCAGTGTGTCAATATTAAGCAAGTGATCAGTCGTATATTTTTGTGAGTCAAAGTATCAGTAGAATAAACTCAAATTCCATATTATCTCGGTCACAACCAGTATTAATTCAAGCAAACAGTTTGCCAACAACAAACTGTACAACCTTCATTTCTCCATTATTATTATTGTTATTATTACTATTATTCACTTTATTCCTTTGCTTTCTGAGTGTGAAACATAAGGCTTCAAGCGTGAGCTTTGAAGTTTCAGTAGTAGTGGGGTGCTAGCCTCACATCTCACCTCTCCTATTCACCGGGCTTGCCTACTGGCTAAGGGAAGTTAAAGAATGCACTGACCGGGGATCGAACTCCGGGACATATGCGTAGTTGGCTAGTATTCCATCACTGAACTATTGACCAACCTATATTGTGGCTCAATTGCCATTTGCCATTTAAGAACAAATAATTAACTAATCATAATGCTGACTGACTGACTGGTTTCAAAGTAGAACTTTGCACAGATGTGCACCAATTCCAGTTGCCACACTCCATGCAGCACACAAAGCAAAAGAAGAGAGTAAAGAGAGTTTCAAAAGAGAGATAATAAACAGAAGTGTGAGGCAAAAAGAGCAGTAATACAGAAGAACAGTAGAGTTTTATTGGATATGATAAATCACAAAGAGTGAATGCATCTGTGCCAACATTGAGAACGATTTTCAGCCATATCACCAATTGTCTCCAGCCGTCATTGGTTTTTACCATCCCAAGGACTCCAACCAGGAAACCAGTCTACACATCCCTACGTGGCTGGCTGGCTTAAACTAAATGTTAAGGATTTCACTGACTGATGACATGTTTCGGTTTGACCACCACTACCTTTCTGTCTTCCAACCTGACCCTATGTCAGCTAACATTGCCTGTTGAGGAAGGTGATGGCTTGGCAGGTATGGGTAACACATGTCCTAACCATCTCAATCGCTGTAACTTCACAGACTCCTTGATTGATTTCCCCTCCTTACCCAACACTCGACGCTCAACCTCAATATTGCTCACTCTATTATACCCCTTAACACATGAGATAGAACACAGGCACCTATGATCAAACACAGCTAGCCGGCCTTCTCATGTCTCCCACTTTCAATGACCATGTCTCGCTCATAGTTATAAAGGAGGACGGAGCGGACAACTTAGCAGCACACATATCCTTTGGTTGACAGCTGGATATCACGTCTACGCCAGAGATAATGTAAGTTGACATATGCCAAGCGAGCCTTCTGTATCGGTGCTGAGATTTCGTCAGTGATCAACCCTTTGGCGTTGTCTGACGCAACTTCCCAAATAAGTGAAGTGGTCAACACGCTCAGTGACCACTTCACTCCCTATCTTTAAGCTAGGAGGGAGTCAATGTGGTCGAGTCCTGTAGAATCATAATGTTATAAAATAATAGTAACATATTTGGAATTCTAACACTTTACTGTATACACTCACCTGCTATGATATAAAATGTACAGATTACACATTTCATCATGATGTGTAGATCCCATGCCGACATTATGTGTTCTCGACGTACTATCATATACACAACGTGCCATTATGATATCATCTTCATTGACTTCTACAGAATCAAATTCTGAATCCAATTGTTTCAATGGATAAAATGCTTGAGGAATTTGTGGATTAACACGACCAAGTAGTTGTGCTGGTCTCTGGCCATGCGGTAGTCGAAAACCAACCACAGATCGACCCAATGAATGTGCATGTCCACGTATAGCCATGATTGTTATTGGTAAAGTTGACGAAATACTAAGAACAAAAGGAAAGAAATACTTATTAAGCCTTTTTATACAATTATTATACTTCATGAACTTGAACAAAGAAAAAATAGCAAAACTGGTTCAACTGGTTGCGATTACTTCATCATTAATATTTAGATATTGGTAGTTGTAACACTGGAGAATGATCTCGAATTGACTTCGCTTAGAGAGTACTGAATAACTGTTTCCCCTTGTTTGCGACTCCTCAGTAGCAAGCGCTCATGACCTTACTGCCAGGGATAGAATTCAGAACCTTAAGGTCAAAAGGAGAGATTGTCAACTATTCAGCCACTGAGACGGTATTCAATGGCACATGATGAATCCTAACTTCTGCTCATCCGTGATCAAAGAGGAATTCAATCGAATATCTGCAAATCAACATTTGAAAGTGAATCAATTGGTCATTAGTGATTGACTAACTACAGAATGAAGTTGCCTAAAGTTCTGTTGAAAAGCCGTAATCAGAGGGGTCTACAAAGATGGATGTGAGGACAGATACTCACCGATGACACGGTTGGAGGCCGCGACAAATATACTGCGAATTCTCAGAAGTTAGAAATGATGGACTAGTAGGTTTAGTTCGTGTGGGTGAATGGGTAGCGAGCTTGCCTCGTAACCTGAAGGTCCTGGGTCCGATCTCTGGTGAATTGTGTGCTGTTGAAGAGTCCAAAATTAGGACGAAATACCGTACAATTATTTCCACTTGGACAAAGCAAGAAGAATATATATTAAGCGAAATAAAATAACGCCATTATATTTCATTAGTCCTTGCCAGCTGGGTACAACCATAAACACTTTCAAGTATTGGTTTGTAGGGATTTGATTGATTGGTTACAGGATTTCATCATGAGCTGACATCAGTTAGAGAACCATTGGAAAACCTGGGAGTACTGGACAGTTGTTTTGTCCTAGTTTGGGATTTCTTTTCAGTACGCACACACCGCCAGGGTCGATCCCTGGACCTTTTGGTTACAAGGCGAGCTAGGTCGTAGGCCATTAAGCCACTGGGACCCACCCGATCCAATGGCCCATGAATTCTAACTTTTGCCAATTCACGACATAGCGCAACTGCTAGCCAATGTCATCTCTGGTGAGTATTTGTCCTCACACGCGACCTGCTGCATCCTACTGGTCACGACTTCCCACTAGAACACCAGGTAACTACCTACCTGAATAGGGCCAGTCGCTAGTGAGCATCTCATTGATATAAACACTTTGATAGCAATATACATGATATACAAATACCGCAATAATTGATCATAAAGGTGATGCTTTACACAGGGGTTACCTCATTCACTTATCTAAGAAGCATTGTTTTAACTGCAGGCGACAGCAAGGATGTGGATATCAAAACTGGAATCGGAAAGACAAGCAGGTCTTCATCACTCTGAAATCGGTTTGGAAATCTTCTGCACAAAGACAAGATTACGATTTTCAACACAAACGCTAAGCCAGTCACTTCTTTTACATGGGTCAGAAACTTGGCACTTACGTCACGAGAAGCATTTCCAACAGCCTGAAGAAGACTTTCGTCAACAGTTGCCTTCACTGGCTCCATATTGAAGATCAAATGGCTGACTGGCCAGGAAGAATTAGCAACAAGAAACTCTGGGAAAAAACTAACCAAGAACGTATTCCTCAACAAATATTCTGAAGAAAATGGAGGTGGATCGGACACGCTCAGGAAACTGCTGGATGAAATGGCACACCACGCAGGCCATCGCTCGAACAGAACCCGAATGGGAAATGACGACACAGATGTGTGTCCGAGGGTGACATGGAAGAGATCGTGTGGACGAGAGGTGAAGCCATCGGGGGCCAGCTAAAGGGGACCACAGATAACAGGATAAAATAAAGATGTGCTACTGAAGCCCTATGATCTGTTCGGAACCCAAGGGAACAATAATAACTGCATGCAGCTAAAAAGAACCAACGAAATATAATAACGTCTTATTACCCTGTTTAATATAATCTTTTTGCTTCACTCTAGGACGAAACAATTAGCTAGTAATGCCTGGTTTTCAGTGGTTCTCTAACTGAAGTCAATTCGTGATCAAAGATGAAATCACTTATTCCTCTTCACATCAATACCAGAAAAAATTTCTAATTAATTTTAGGTCGCTAACTTAGTATTCGTGTCAATAATTTATACCACCGTTAAATGGGTAGCATCTGCGTATAACAAGACATATTATAAAAGGCACCATGTGGTGTAAAATTCCGGAGTCCAAAGTGTACACAGAAATAGAATGACATCAATAAATCTGGGTCATAAGTGTATACTACTGAAGAGTCTCAAACAAGGATGAGGCAACTTCCCAGTACTCCCTAGCTTTCAGATGTTATCGAACTAAAGTTAGTTCGTGATCACTGTTAACATAGATAAAATCTCTGCAAACCAAACCTTAAAAAATAATTTATTAACTTAGAGAAATCATGCAATTAAGTGATAGATTGGTGTTCCATGTATAAGTAGTGCGTCGGTGGCACAGTGGTTAGGACTCTCGCCGACCATGCACATGGTCCGGGGTTCAGTCCCCTGCCGATGCATACCCGATATCTGTGGTCGGCCTGTAAACTTGGGCTACCGATATCCATGCTGAAAATTCCATACTTGTACTGAAAATACGGTGTGGCATCAAGCTGCAATCAAAACAAAATAAAAATAAGTAACAGTGTGGCGGGTACTACTTATAATCCCATTTAAGTAGTATATCAATTAAACAAATTCAAAAAAGAAACAATAGGTTTTTGGCCACCGGAAAAAGCAGTCGAAGAAGAGAACTATGAGAAGAACGTTACAACACTATACAGAATCCAACATGCTATAGAATGTGGTGATATTCAACCAATTTGCCAATGATGTACAAATAAAGACTTATAGGGTATACCAAATCAATGCACTCGCAATGCGTTTGTCCACTAGTGTACGTATGACAGTCTTGTAAATTGAGAATAATTTAAATTCTCCTATGAATTTCAATTATCCATCATCTAACACACTTACACAGCAGCTCATAACTCTCATTGACATCTCTAAGAACACGGCTGTCGATTATACTCGATAAATTACGTTAGTGTCAATATCCGTAATTGCTCATTCAGACACACACACATTTGGCTTATTCAGATGAATTCCTATTACCTCTGCTATATTTATTTTTGCGACAGATGTTAACAGTAAGGCTGCGTCTGTGAAGGTTCTTCAAAAGGACTTTGTATGCAGCCAAGTTATGCTGTTTATTCATCAGTCAATCATTACTTAGTTTACGAAATATAGACAGACCACCTAATTCTGCCTCTTTCATTTATGTTTATCAGTTTAACTGCTCCAGTGGTGCCAGTCACATTAGTCATATGAGTAGCTAAGTTCATTATCGGATTTCTGAACACCACTCGCCTTGGTTAGGGGTAAAGGATAGAATAAAATGATACCTGCCTCAATACTAGGTCGACTGGCCGATACAGGACATCATTTTGACACTAAAAAAACTTTTAAAGTTATTCAGTGTATTTTACCTAACCTTTCACATGAACTACGAGCAGGACTTCTGCATTTAGAAGAGGCAGTTGGAATTCATCTGAATATACCAAAGTTGTATATTCTTTGTCGTGGCCATTTACATTATATATATATATATTGGTTACAGGATTCCACCATGAGATCAGTTAGAGAACCATTGGAAAATCAACAAGGAGTACTGGACAGCTGTTTCGTCAGTCTAGTTTGAAACTCTTATTCAGTGGAACTAACCCACCGCCAGTGTTCAAAGCCACAACCTTCTGGCTACAATGCGAGCTAGCTCGTAAACCATTAAGCCACTGGGATACTATCCAATAGCCTACGAGTTCCAAACGAATTTCACCCTCTCCTTGTAACTATCATTTGACTTTGTTACTTTATTTTGTGATTATGATTATTATTATTCTAACTTAACAATTCGCTTTTCTATTCTTCTTAGTCAATATTATTTTACATACTATTCACCGTGTAATAATTTGTGGCTAACCCTCTATAAATTAATTGATCCTGAATTCCGTAATTATTATGTTTACCTCTGTTATACCTGAAAATGTATCTCTCTGTCTCTCTTATTGACTAACAAGTCAGTTGGTAATTTCTACTAATTAACTGTCTTGAATTCTGTAATCAGTTTGGTTTCACCTCTCCAATACCTAAAAACTGATCATTCTTATTGTCTAACAGGTCACCTGTATGGTTAGTATAATTGTGATGAAAATAGCTACTTTGTGCCTCGGTGGAACAGCAGTATAATGCTCGCCAGTCATGCTGGTGTTCCGGGGTTCGATCCCCGGCCACAGACACACTCCTACACCTCGCTAAGCCAGTATTGAGACTGGTTAAGAGGGAAGGTTGGGCATGAGGCTAGCAACGCCATATCCCGTAAAAATAAACAAGCACCACTACTACCGAACATTCAGGCCTCTAGCTTGAAGCCATATGTTCCAGTGGGAAAGTAAAAAATATATATTTAAAAACAACTATTTGGCGCTAATGTGGAGCTCGTCGACAATGTGAACACTTTAAGAGGGATCAAGACAAAGATAATCAAGTTACGTGGAGGGTAGAGTACGTCAGTGTTCACCTATTGACTTCTTTCAATTCATGGTACGGAATATTTTCTCTGGACATAAAAGTTTCATACTACTAATGATTTGAAAAGAATTTCCCACTTATCATTCTCATTTTTTAGCACCAAGCTCATTCTGAACTGTGTATCAGACTGTTTTAGTTTTTGCCATTTAATTAATGTAATTAATTCTACTTCTTGTGTCCGCTGGAGGTTCATTGGCAGGATACTCATCAACCACACCTCACGTGGTCCGAAGTTTGATCACCGGCCTATTCACTCCCCTAAACTTCACTTAGGTGGTAGTGAACTCGGTAAACAGGGAAGGTTTGACGTGAGGCTAGCAACCCCACCCCATGAAAAATAAACACTCCTGTTACTGAAGCTTCCAAGCTGA